TGGCCTGCGGAGTCCTATTCTCTTCAATTTATATGGCTGCTCAACTCACAGTGACTCTGGGCAGCTTACAGGAATAAAACCCCCACATACAAAACCTACTACACCCCCACCCCCATTTAAATTTTCTCTCCTCTTCCTTTCTTTTTATAGGCAACAGATACCAACTTTCAGATTCCTCCATGGTCTATTCAGGAGATGGTGGGAAGATAGTTATTTCACTGTGACATTTGAAGCTCAGGCAATTAAGTTTTCTTTAAGGACCAATGTCACTGTGTCCAACTTCTTGTGCAGACAGCAGCAGATCAGGCTGACCTCAGGACCAGAAGGACACACACCCACATTAGTGTTTCGTAGCCAAGGTGCAAATTCTACTTACTTTGCCTTAGTTGCAACCAGTGGCAAAATGTATCACATTTTATACTTTGTGGCTACTGTTGCATGCTCTCAGCTGAAAGGGGAAAGCATTGATTGAACACCAGTTTAGTTAAGGATGACTTAAGGCTAGCTCACTCATAGGCTGAGAACAAAGTGGGGATAACATGATGAGGACCTAGCAGAAAAAAGAAATAGCTAAGGCTTGTTTGTGACATGGTTTGATGCAAGGAAGGAAAGGTCCTATGTTGCAAATTCTGTCTTAAAAGAGTTGTCGTGCACACTCAAAGGGTTTTTATTTTAAAAACACAATAAAATCTGAACATCATGGGTAACACACGCCATCTCTTTACGCGTGTGTTTGTTTCCCAGTTATCCCACTATCTCCTAGTCTGGCCTTCCATATCTTTTGCTACCATTGCTTTATCATCAGAGATAAGGTAGCAATGAGTGAGTCTGAACTTGCTTGCTGAGTACGTTCTGAAATAATACCCCAAATGCTTTATTGGATTGGATTGTAGCTGCATCAAGGTCAGTGATCTGCTTCCAACCAGATGGTTCCAGTAAGCTCACAAGCCAAATATGAAGGTAATGTCCATCCTTCCATTTTTGCTCCTGGAGTCTGATTTGATTGATTCCATTCCCATCAACCCCCCCTATTTGTTATAACTAGTCATAGGAATATTTACCAAATATTGTTCATATATTATATATATAGGACATGTATGAATGTTCATATAAATGCATAAAGGTTCTTTTTTGTAAGTTATACCTGATTTATATTGTTCAGTTTTGTCTGTGTTAACAGGTACCCAGCTTTCCAGCATTCTCTTGCATGGAGATAGTTTTGCAGATGACGATGCAAGATGTGCATGTCCAAAGCGAGCTTTCAAGTGGGTCTTTCGTGCCCTAGCCAAGTGCCAGGGATAAATGCTCTACCACCAAGCTATGGCTCTTCACAGTCACAATGGAAGTTCAAAGAGAGGGGAGCAGCCCTGACTGATCGTTTCTCTGGTTAATTATGTGATTAACCTTCAATTTATAGGGGATAAATGTTGGTTACCTTCTGAGACCAGAAAATCCTAAATGTGGAAAGGACACAGATAGTCCTTGCTATCTGACCACAATAGAGACAGGAATTTAGGTTGCTAAGTGATTTGGTCGTTAAGTGAATTGGAGCTGATTTATGACGTTTTTACGATAGCCATTAAGCAAACCACATGGTCATTAAGCGAATCATGTGGTCGTTAAGTGAATCCAGCTTCCCCGATGGAGTTTTTTTTGCCAGATTTTGCTTAATAACCATGGTGATTTGCTTAACAACCATCATAAAAAAGGTCGCAAATCATGATCACGTGACTGTGAGGGTCATAAAGCACTTTTCCCAAGGCCATTGTAACTCTGGACTGTCATTAAACAAACGGTTGTTAAGCGAGGACTACCTGTACAGGGAATATATACTCCAGCCTTCCACCGTAATTTCCTTGTATTGCTGGGAAAAGTCTAAAAGAGGATCTCTCTCTTTTATGGTTTATATGGTTATAGTTCTTCATACAATTAGAAAGAGTTCCTAAATGATGTGGAATGCTGAATGTAGCCTGTCTTTGGATCTTTCCCATATGCACAAGCCTGAGGAGGTGGGAGTGGAGCACATGTCCCACCATCCCTTCTGGTTAGCTTTTCTAGGTTTCTGAATACATTTTATCCATCTCTCTAAGCCAGTGTTTTTTAATCATGGCAACTTGAAGTTGTGTGGACTTCAACTCCCAGAATTCCCCAGCCAGCATGGGATGATGATGCAATACATGCATCTCCAAAGCGAGCTTTCAAGTGGGTCTTTCCTGCCCTGGCCAGGTGCCAGGCATAGATGCTCTACTACCAAGCTATGGCTCTTCACATGATCACAATGGAAGTTTGAAGAGAGGGGAGCAGCCCTGATTGATCACTTCCCTGGTTATTCCATGGGAATTCTGGGAGTTGAAGTCCACACATATTCAAGGTGCCAAGGCTGAGCAACATTGCTCTAAGCTGTACGCCTGTGTGCATATTAATCCTTCAGAAAGGTACAAGCTGGGTCTGTACCACACTATCTTCTCTTACCATGGCTTATGGAATAAGCCACAACTGTCTGGATTAGACAACTAATT